ACCAGTGGCACAGCCTCAAGACTCACAGCAACACGTCACCACAGTAGGACAAACTGACAGACAAGTTTGTCTCCCTTAGCTGTTGGAAACCCCTCCAGCCACCTTTACCTCGATCCCTGTGGCTAACTCCTCGATCTGTTGCAGTCCCCTTTGCCTTTTCTGTCCTCTCCCTGCTTCCTGCCTCGCTGCTTGTGGGGGGTGGCCTGGGTTCCCTCTCCTGACCTGGCTCCCTACAGTTGAATCCTTGATCTGTTCCTACTCCTTTCGCTTTTTTGTTCTTTCCCTGCCTTCCTGCCTTGCTCCTTGTGGGGCATGGTCTGGGTTCATATCTCCTAGGATCATGTGGGTTTTCTTTTTTATACTATTTTTTGTTTTTTATACTATTAATGTGATTAATTATATAGATGAATTCTTGAGTGTTCAACCAATCTTGCATTCCTGTAATAAACTCCATTTGTTTATGATGTATTATGCTTTTTACATATTGCTGGATTTGATTTCTTTGTATTGACATACAAAAGGAATGTATTAGTGGTATATATAGTTGTATCTCACCTTTCTGAGCTTCAGTGTCCTCATCAGTAAAATGGTTTCTCCACCATCCAGCAAGCTCTACCAGGAGCATTAAATAAGATGATGTATATAAAGCTCCCAGCATAGAAGTTGGGACATAATATGGGTTTAGTAATTTGCTTTCCTTGCAAGAATGCTACTGTTAGCCCTTAATCTTTTTAATTTGATGTCAAATGGGGTAAACAATACTGAAAGTATTCAACTAAGTCATCATTTTCAAGTAATATATAGGCTAAGGCCACCTGAACAAGCCTTCATTTCCAAGTCCCTTAGCAGGAGGTCCTTTCCTCCTCTTCAATTCTGTTTCCAAACATACCACTTGAGGGTCCACACTTTCTAAATTGGAGAGTCTTAAGAGTTGCAATTTTTTTTTGGAGGTGTCATAAGGGTCTTGTCTTGAAACTACATTTGCATATAGCCACACTATTTGTATTTCAATTGCATGTTTGCTTGGGGTGACTTGGGGGCTGGGGAGGATGATTTCACTGCCTGACATAGTGCCTGGTACATAGTTAAGTACTTATAACTGGATGCAATTATGAATGGACTAACCTTCCCTTTTCACAGCTTACCTCCTTGTGCAATGGGGCCATGGAAGAAATTAAGATTATGAGTATAAGAAATAGTTCTGTTTATTGATTAGAACATGGATAAAATTACAGCAATTTGCAGGCATTCTGGGCTTTCTGGGAAGGACATGCAGTGCTGGACTCTAGCAGGGGATGGGGTGGAGGTATGAACCACTGGGAAATGACTTCCTTCTTGGGCATATTGAGGGACTTGTGCTAACAGCGCAGATGCTAGTGTGAGAGAGAGCATTTTGGCCCTTTCATCTGGAAACAAAGGATGTGGGAAGTTTGGGGCATCAGATAATGTCGTGCTTAATAAATCATTCTTATCCTGCTTGTGTTAGGTACTGGCTCTCCCGATCTAACCATGGTTGGCTCTAATTGTTCTATAGAATGTTCATTCTTCCCATTAAAGGAAGAGGAAACAGGCACATTGGTTTGGGAGGCCATCAGAGGGTGATGTGCATTTGCTTCAGATCTTCTTGCTTCCAGACACATTGAGGTCTTCTGGACATGGAGGCAGTGGGCTGGAGGCACACAAGTGAAACATCGTGCACTACTGTTTAAGCTCAAGCAGAGGGACCTTCCATAGGGCAGCACTGTGAAGAGATGAGCATGCTTCCAAAACAAACTCAAGTTTCATCCTGTATCTCTCATGAAGAAGGAGGAAAGATTGGCAATCAGAGACTGAGCCAGGCAATTCTGGGTTCCATAGAAAGTCTTCAGCAGAGAATGCTTTCAAAGTGTTTAAAAGGTGTTTCTGTCCCAAAAGTCAGTGTGTAAAGTCAGAACAAGGGCAGATCAACGTGTTAAAGTGGTTGTTTAGTACATTGTCTCTGAGAGCTGGATGGCTGATTGTCTCCAATTACATGACATTTTGGAACAGCTGGAGGGACCTCATGATATTGTCATCCTGGGAAGGGAAGAGGGGAAAAAAGAGGATGGTTAGAATTCTGAGAGGCTCCTCAAGTTCTGTCATTCTGGGGAGCAAACCTCCAGCATGTTTCCTATGTGGAAAGAACACTGAAAGGCTACGAGAAACAGAGAATAGGAAGTGGGGACCTAGAAAGTGAGCAAGTCAAAGCAATAAGCACCTTCTATGGCCTTAAAGAGGAATTCAGAAGAAACAAATTATCTAGTAAAATAGTGAATGCTGCTTCTTTTAAGAAGATTTGGATAATGACATTTTATCAAATAATTTTCTGCATCTACTGAGCTGGTCATATGCTTTTTTTTGTATTCTAATGTGATTAATTATATAAAATAATTCTTGAATGTTCAACAAACCTTGCATACTTGGAATAAACCTCATCTATTTATAATACATTACTTTTTTTTTAAATATGTTACTGGAGTTGATTTTTTTTTTATATCTAGCCTGAATTTTTTAAAAAAACTTATTGAAAATAATGGTCTTGTCAGGTTTCTATATTACAGCTATGCTAGCTTAATAAATCAAGTTGAGAAGTTGTTCCTCTTTCTTATTCTCTGAGATTGTATAAGTTTAGTATTATTTCTTCCTTAAATGTTTAGAAGAATTTGCCAGTGAAGCCATCTAAGCCTGCCATTTCCTCTGTAGAAAAGTTTCATATTACAGATTCATTTTTTTTAACAGATATAAAACTACTTATATTTTCTATTTCTTTTTGTGTTAGTTTTGATAAATTGTGCTTTTCAAGGAATTTATAGATTTCATATAAGTTGTCAAATTTATTGAATGATTAACTCTTATTCTTTTAATATCTGAAAGTCTGTTCTGATGTTCCCCTTTTCATTTCTGATATTGATAATTTTTCTATCTCTTTTTTTTTCTTGATCAGGTTTGCTAAGCATTTATCAAATTTATTAACCTTTTCAAAGGGGCAACTTTTGACTTTGTTGATTGTCTAATTGTATGTCTCTATTGCATGTTCTCTATTTTATATTTATCATATATTCTCTAAGGTATAAATATTGTATGTAGAAAATCCTCAAATGTTTGGATATTAAACAACACACTTCCAAATAATCCATAGGTCAGAGGAGAAAATATTTTGAATTATGCTACCAGAGCTCCCAAAAGATAATGAAAATATCAAATTTTATGGGAAGTAAAGCAGTACTGAGAGAGAAATTTATATCTTTAAATGCATAAATAGGAAAGAGTGGTTAAAAATCTATGATCGAAGCTTCTATCTTAAGGGCTAGAAACCTCTCCCCACCCCAGCCAATTGAATAAAAACAAAACAAAACAAAAATCAAAGGAAGGAAATAAATTAAAGCACAACTTACTAGAAAGCAGACCTATAACAGAGAAAACTGACGAAGACAAAAGTTGATTATGAGCATTATGGAACCTTTTAAAACTTGGTGGAACAGGGAGATATTATTGTCTGTTGTCATTATGTGCCATTGAGTCGACCCCGACTCATAGCGACCCCTTCTTGGGTTTCCAAGGCACTATCACTACAGAAGTGGGATTGCCCAACCTTCCTTCCGAGGAGTGGCTTGTGGGTTTGAACCACCAGCCTTCTGGTTAGCAGTCAAGTGCCTTAGGCACTATGCTACCAGAGCTCCTATATTATTGTCTAGTGTTTAAGTATATGAGTTCTGGAGTCAGGCTGCCTGCATTCAAATTCTGGCTCTGTCACTTACTAGCTGTGTGACCTTGGGTAAGTTGCTCAATCTCTCTGTGCCTCAGCTTCTTCATGTGTAAACTGGGGTTGATTATAGTATCTACCTGACTGCTAACCAGAAGGCTGGTGGTTCAAACTCACCAGCCACTTCTCGAAAGGAAGGTTGGGCAATCTACTTCTGTAATGATACTGCCTTGGACACTCAAGGAGGAGTCACTATAAGTCAGGTCCAACTTGACAGCACATAACAACAACAACAACAACCTATAGGGTGGGTTGTGAAAAAGAAATAAATTCACTAAGGAATAGCTATAGAAGAAGTTGCTAATGTGAGAAACTTAAAAACCTCTCTCAAATGATAAGTTTAAAAAGCATATGTCAGCAGAGCATGGTATTTAAAATCAGAGGGACAGGAATTCATGTTCCATCTCTACCATTTACTGTGATCTTAGACAAATACTTTAACCTTCAGATGCCTCAGACTTTCCTTCTTTAAAATGGGTATGATAAACACAGCCATCAGCATTTTCTTAATGATCTTTTGATTTTTGCTAAAATCCTTTCAACTCTGTTGGGAAATAATTGCTGATCTGAGCCTCCCCCTCCACCTTCAGTATTTTCTACCCCTCTGGATACAAGATAACTGGTGGATCCCTGGACCACCCAAACATTCATCAACTAAAGGGTTAATACTATGTTTAGCACGGATCCTCCAAGGCACTGCTCCAGGGCATTGGTCAAGGTCAATAAACCCCCCCAAAACCCCACTGCCCATGGAGTTGAGTCCTATTCATAGCGACCCCTCCTTGGGTTTCCGAGGAAGTATCACTACGGAAGTAGATTGCCCCATCTTCTTTCTGAGGAGTGGCTGGTGGGTTTGAACCACCAGCCTTCTGGTTATCAGTCCAATGCCTTAGGCACTATACCACCAGTGCTCCCAATAGGTGTTCTGAAATAAGGGGGCTATAAATACATTTTTCTAAAGTAGATAAAAGATATTATTCCAGTTCAGTCTATCTGGCAGAGACTCTGGGGTCAGACTATTCTTTAGGTTGATGAAGATGTGGTCCAAGGACCAACAGCTTCAGTATCTCCTGGGAAAGATAGGTAGGAATGCTCATTTTCAAGCTTCACCCTAGATCTGTTGAATTAAATCTACATTTTAACATAATTTTAGGGGAGATTGGTTTGCATATGAAAGTTCTAGAAGCATTGGTCCAGGGCATTTGATTAAAATGAAGATTTCTAGGCCCCACCCTGTATCTGTGGAATTACAGTCTCTGGTATTGAGGCCTGAAAATCTACAGGCAATTCCCATGCATGCTGTTTAGTATTAGAGCTTAAATTCTGAAGCACTGGGGGTAGTGGAAGGCTGCTGAAACCCTAACTCCATTTTGAGTCTTGACATAAGTTCAGATGCCATTGACTTCTTTCTGATCATGAAACCAACATTATGGCTATACGAAAACAGGTTCTAGGACAAACCTAAGGAGGGGAAGTTTGCCTTCAGAAACAGTGTGGTTGAAAGCAGAACATGTTCACACAAAGAACTAGGAAACTTGCCTGGGTGTGTCCAATTTAAATTAAATTTTGGGTCCTGGTATTGTCTTGTAGCCACCTTGTGGCTATGACTCAGGCTGCATGGTCTTGAGTCATACCCAGGCTACCATCTAGCCAAGTAGTCAAGCCCCAGAACCAATCTTGTAACCCTTTTTAATCTTCAATTGTGTATGTATCCAAATCATGGTCATTTCCCAACTTCTGTAGACCTGCCTGCAACAGCGATGAATCGATCTGGCACCAATTATGATTTTGTGATGATTTCCTTTGTTTTCAGTCATATATAATTAGCCCCATGGCCATGACTCAGTGAACTCTATTCAAATTTCTACACTATGTACATGTTGATGGTTTCCCTCATCCTGGATGATTGTCTTTGCCCTGTCTGAGGCTTAATAAAAGTGTCCCTATTGAACCTGTTTGAATCTGGGGTCTCCTTTCTCCTTTTACAAGTTTGAGAATCACAGCTTTACATTTCTTTCCAAATTACTCTCATATATTCTAAGGAGTGAGCCACCAAGCCAGAAGCAGGCTGAAAAAATGACTGTGTTGCCCACTGAGGAAATCTATAGTTTCAAATCCCCCAGACCTCTACATGGTCTTCCTGGTTCAGTTTGGTGCTTAGCCAAGACCAACTGCAGGCCATTTTGAGGAGTGGAGATTGTTGGACTCTGCATTGTTGCTGTTTTTGTTGTTGTTGGTAGTGGTATTGACTGTTCTGAGGTGTACTAGATATGTGCAGTTTTCTCAATCCCCTGAGGCTTCTGCAGGCCCCCAATTCTCGGATTTCCTTCCCAGATTTAGAGGTATCACATCTTGAGATCTTTCCTTACCTCCTGACAAGATTCAAGAAATTCATCTAAAGTCACGATGCCATCTTTATTTTTGTCCATTTTCTGAAAGACACAATGGGAAGCACTTTAAGGACCCTTTTAATCTTCATTCCAAAACTTACTTTTTTTTAACCAACTTTGCCCTGAGAATTGAGTCGGATCTGACTCGACGGCAGTGAGTTTGGTTTTTTTTTTTTCAGTTTCATTGATCAGGCTACTCCGTTCAGACCCTGGTTGAAGTTCTTTGACCTCTGTGAGCTTCCATAAAATTAAAAGACTTTTTCTAGACACTCAACACTGGATTATTCTGCTGATATTCTAGCATGTCTTCCCCAGTCTCTCCTACTCTGTCCATCAGATAGAAAAGACACTGGACATGAGAGGTTCTAGTTCTATCTTTGTCATTTCCTGTGTGACCTAGAGCAAGTTTTAAGCCTCTCTGGGCCTCTGTTTTCCCATCTGTAAAGTGGGAAGATTGTATTAGAATGAGCTTTGATGCTCTTTGATTCTATACTGCTAGATTCCCACACACACACACTATTCTGATTATTCCATCCCCCTACTCAAAGACTAGCAGTAGCCATTCTGCACTTGCTAGAACAAAAGCCAAACCCACTGCTGTTGAGTTGATTCTGACTCAGCAACTCTATAGGACAGACTGGGACTGTACATCTTTACAGAAGCAGACTGTCACATCTTTCTCCTGCAGAGGGGCAGTGGGTTTGAACCACCAATCTTGTGGTCAGCAGCCAAACACTTTACTTTAACCACTGCACCACCAAATCTCCTTTCATTTGCCAGAGCAAAGCTTAACTCTTCAACTTTCAAGATCTACAATGTGGCCAGAGACAAAGCTAGGGTAAACAATCTTCTAGGGGTAACCTCTAAGTTGTGCCTCTCCTAAATTTCAAGATGAATAGCTGTTGATAAGCTTGATAGCTCCAAATCAGCAGAAATGGCTTCCTCCCTCTTGCCCAGCTGCCTCATTCAGAGTTCTTTCATATTTATGGTATCTTGGAATGTCGTTCTGTGCCTAATCTGACACCCCCTTGGACTTATACCTGGGGGTATGTGCCGTCCCTTCTCCCTGCCTATATCTCTGATTCTGGGTCCACCCTAGTTTCCAACTTTCTTTTTGTTTTCCAGACATAAATGCTTAACATCTTCACAGATGTGCTTAAAGAAATCCTTTTTGTTTACTCTGATGCTTCAAGAATGCCTATGGAACTCAGAAACCACACTATACCACGTACATTTGAATATTTACTTCCTGTCCTCTTCTATAGTGAATATTTGCTTAACAAGATCATCTGTTTCTTGAAAACAATATATCTTTTGATTTGTTTCTGTTTCCTGCAGTGCTTAGCACAAGGTTGGACACTAACTACTTGTTCAGATGCTCGTGGGCTAATTCTAAGTTGGACTTAAAGCTCTCATGCACATGGTGGGTATGCGTACCTGGAAGAAGACGTCCACGTGCTGCCTTGGGGTGTCCTCTTTGAGCACGGGATATGTGTATTTCCCCATCATATCATAGATGGCTTTGACAATGTCCATCATCTCCTGGAGAGGGGACATGGAAGCACATAGTATGGGGACCATGAGCTCAAGCTCCTCTTAAGTGAGAGTTTGGGGCTCCTTGTCCCCTTTGCCAATGAGAGGGTTGGTGAAAGACAGAAAGCAAGTTGAAGGGGCTATTTTCTGTTCTTATTCCTAGAGAGAAGGCAGTGGAAAATTTTCCTCTTTGCCTTCAGAAACTCTTGGGTATGATATCTTTTCTTGGACCATTTCCCCAGAGGACTTATGTGTGGGATCCCTATTCCATGATCTTCAGGCAAAGGAAGTGTTATTCTGAATTAAAGAAGTGTTAATGTTCTGGCTTACCACCACCATCTGTCAGTTTGTCATACTGTAGGGGCTTGTATGGTGCTATGATCCTGGTCTTCAGGCAAAGAAAGTGTTATTCTGAATTAAAGAAGTGTTAATGTTCTGGCTTACCACCACCATCTGTCAGTTTGTCATACTGTAGGGGCTTGTATGGTGCTGTGATCCTGGAATTTATGCCATCAGTATTTCAAACACCAAACAGGGTCACCCATGGTGGGCAGGTTTCACCAGAGCTTCCAGCTAACACAGACTAGTGTGGAAGAGTTGGTAATCTACTTCTGAAAATTAGCCAATGGAAACCTTAAAGATTACAACAAAACATTGTCCAATTAACTTGCTTTGGAGGGATCAATTATTAGAGGAAGACATGGTGTTTGGTGAAGGAGAAAACCAACAAGGGCAAGGGAGACCTTCAGTGAGATGGATTGGCAAATAGCTACAATGATGGACTCAAACATGCCAGTGAGCATGAGGATGGCACAGGACCTGGCAGCATTTTCTTTTGTTATACATAAAGTCACCATGAATCAGAGTTGACTTGATGGCAGCTATCTGTCTATCTCTATCTAATGTTCTGACTTAGAGATTTAAAAATCTTGGCAGGTTCTGTTGCTGTTTTCAGCTAAGAAAAATGATGGACATCCAGGATTATACGTAGGGCCTGCTAGGTCAATGGTTCCACAGACTGGGACACTTGTTAAAACATACTGAATCAGACCCTCCTAGGACTAGGCAGGGTCTAAGGATCTCTACTTTTATTAAAGTATATTAAGAACTGTTATTCTCAACATTTATGGCTGACAAGGATAACAGTACATCATCCCAGAGGGTAAATGCATATAAATGCCTATTAACAGAAGATCCTCCATATTATTAATCTTAATTAAAAGAAAAATGAAGAGGAAAATGTGAAAGTAAATTTCACATTTGGGGCAATGAGGTAGATATTGGGGTCAGGGTAGCCCTTCTTGTTTGGCAAACCCACCAACCACTCCTTGGAAGGAAGGTTTGGCAATCTGCTTCTGTAGTGATGTTGTTGTTGTTGTTGTTATGTGCTGTCAGTTGGACCTGACTCATAGCGACCCCTCCTTGGGTTTCCGAGGCAGTATCACTAGTGATACCACTTCAGAAACCCAAGGAGGGGTCGCTCATCTGATTGTTGCCACTTTACCTCCAGCACTCAGAATGCCTCATCAATCCTCAAACATGCATTGAGTAAACACACACCTAGATGAATGAGCACTGAAAGTTGGGTATACTTGCTGAGCTTTCGTTTTCTTTCTGAAGGCGATAACCTCTCAGCACTGAAGTGACATTGAAGCTAACATTCGCTCTTAACCCCCAGCACTGGGGCTGGCACATAATAGGTCAGTAAATTGGAGTGTTCTAAACCCAACTCCCGTGATTCTGATTCATAGCAACCCTATAGGACAGGGTAGAATCATCCCATAGGGTTTCCTAGGCTGTAATCTTTACAGAAGTAGACCACCACATCTTCATCCCACAGAGCAGCTGGTGGGTTCGAATCATCCACCTTTTGGTTAGCAGCCAAATGCTTAACCACTGTGCCACCAGAGCTCTTGTGGGAGTGTTAAGGATGTTAAATTCAAGCTTCCACAAAGACAGTAGACACCAAAGTGAGTTTCAAGTTAGACCTGCAGATATTTTATTGGTTAGCACCACAGGTACTTTGATATTCTAAAAGCATCAAGGCATGAAGATTTAGAAATGATTTGTGAGGATTTCCTTAAAGATGACTCTGCCTTCCTTTACTCCTTTCTGTCTGTGGCTTTTATTAGGCAAAATAGGCGGGGTCTGTATGATACATTTGTAGTGGCCTCATTCTAGGAAAGTAGTCCCTGGGTGGTACAAGCAATTAACACAATTGGCTGCTAAATGAAGATAGAGGTTCCAGTCCACCAAGAAGCATCTCAGAAGAAAAGTCTGGTGACCTACTTCCAAAAAATCAGCCACTGAAAACCCAGTGGAGCACAGTTCTGCTCTGACACACATGGGTCGTCTTGAGTCAGAGTCGATTCAAAAGCAACCAGCAAGCCTCCTCAAAAATATCCTTTTCTCTTCTATGTGGTACCTGCAATGCCAATTTTGAGCTTCAACATGTGGTTGTTAACCTGTTAAACTGTAGGTTTCCCTGGGAGGAGTAACTCTTTACACTGCAACCAGTCATTTATACCCCACTGAGAATGAATCTGCTTAATCCTCTCTTAGGAGACTGGGACCAGGCCAGGGTAGGGCAATAGAGATGTCAAAGGTGGACACTTTAATTTTGTCAGACTGGCTCTGCTAGCCCCAAAGCAGATCCATCCTCATCCAGATATTTCTGTCCTCACATCTGAGCTGTTTGATCTTTGTGCCTCTCTCATGCTCCCAGCCTCTACGCATTTACCTCTTTATTTATGTATCCGTCTTTATTGATGTCATACAAATTAAATGTCCACCTGAGCTTCTCATGGACAGTTCCTCGCAGTAGGATCGACAGAGCAGTCACAAAGTCCTGAAAAGTGAGAAAAGCATGAAGGATGTTAATCACATAGCCATCATGTAAGGTAAGCTCTGTCCTTGAGGCCCACTTTGTGAATACTTTTACCAGAATGGCATCACCATATCTTCTTGTCCCCTGAAGGATGTGGCTGAGTTTAGTGAAGACCACTCCATTCCACTCCCTCCTCTGCTGAATTTTTTAGGAGGCCCCCCTTGAAGTATGGAAGTGTGTATGTGTGTGCGTGTGTGTGTATGTGTGTGTGTATGTGTGTGAGAGAGAGCGTGCTGATGCCTCCAGACACAGGTACCCTGTTTTCTCTGCCATTGCCTTATCCCATTGCCTCAATTACTGTTTACTTTATCATATGAGTGGCCGTAGAGTCTCGTATCTAAGAACATGGACTCTGGAAACATATGGCCTGAGTTCAAATCTCTTCTTTGCCACTCTCGACTTGTTTGACCTTGGGGAAGCCACACAATCGCTCTTTGTCTTATTTTCCTCTTCTGTAAAATGGTAACAATAATAGAACCCTACATTGTAGGGTTATTGTGAGAATTAATTGAATTAACATATGCAAAACATTAAGTACACAGCCTGCCCACGGTAAGCTCAGTGGTCATGTAAGCTATTAAAACTATAAGTTTCTGAGTCTCTGAGTCCCTAGAAGTGGAGAGCAGTTGCTGCTGCTTCTCTGTATCTTCAGGAAATATTTATTAAGTGGCAGAGTTTTCTTTGTCTTGACAGAGGGCATTTGATCATCCAACCCTTCCCAAAATGCCCCATAATTTAGAGGGAGAAGTGACACAGAACTTGGAGACTCCTCTGAACGGGCCCACAAGACAAGCCTACCTCAAATTTCACAGAGCCTGTCTGGGTGGTGTCGAAGGCATTGAAGAGGTAATGGGCATACGTGCTGGCATCTGTAGAGAGAGAGAGCAGGGCAGGTGATGGGAGCAGGGACTCCACAGAGGGGAGAGATCATTTAACAACAGAGGCAGGATCCCAACAAGAAAGAGAGGAACATGATGCTGCAGTGGTAGAAAGGAGAAAATTAGGGTGTGGGAGAATCCTTTGGTGTGAACTGGTGTTTTTCTGGCTCTCCTGGGGTCTAGATGGGAAGTTCTAGCAAGAACCAAGACAAGTCCTTATTTCTTCCTCCATCCAACCATCCAGGGAGAAAGCCTGTCTTGCCTCTCCATGTGTGTAGTTCTTAGGAGATGGATGGTTTGATGATTGAGTGGGTAAGATGTTCTTCTGAAAGGCAGTGCACAACCATGGAATGAGCACTCATGTGGGAACAGACAGACCTGGCTGAATCAAAGCTCTGTAACTATATAGCTGTGTGACCACAGGCATCTAACTCAACCTCTCTGAGCTTTACTTTCCCTTCTTTGTAAAATGGGATGTAGCAAGATCTATGTCTTGGAATTTTAAAAAAGATAATGTTAAATTTCAGCAATGCTTGACACATAGTCAAAATTCAATAAGTAGTCACTCAAGAGAACTTAATGAACTCTGGTTCTGTGGGTCCTGCATGGGACAAAGCTGCTCCCCTCCCCTATCTCTTTGATAGGGAACATGCACTGGGTCATGCACCTGAGGAGGCTACTTGGTGTAGTGGAAGAGGCCCAGGAGAAATAGGGCCCAAGAAGTGTTTGGGATGATTGGATCTCCACTTTGTCAGGGCCCAGGGAGAGGGTCTGGGTGTGCAGGAGATAGCTCCTGGGTGGGCTGGGAGGTGGCATGTGACACATGGAGGCCACAGGAAGAGCCACTGATGTGTCTCAGGCCTATAGAGCCAGAGTCTATTTCCACAATAGTCAGACATGGCACAGAGCAGCTGCTGTGGGCCTGGCACCCTCACTAGTCTGGTTTTAAGAGCACAATTGTATGCATCCTGCATCTTTCTGGATTAGTTTATTTTCATAGTCTCTGGTACCCACTAAAGAAACCCTAGTGATGATTAAGCTCCCAGCTGCAAACCAAAGGGTTTGGGGTTCAAACTCACCAGCTACTCTGTGGGAGAAAGATGTGGCAGTCTGCTTCTGTAAAGATTTATAGCTTTGGAAACCCTATGGGGGCAACCCTATGGGGGTTGCTATGAGTCAGAATCGACCCAACAAAATGAGTTCGGGTTTTGATACTCACTAATGTTCTTTAAAAATCAGTTTATCTCCTGTGCTTTAAGGAAAAGAATGGGAAGTGTCTGTCACATGGTGAAGCTAACATGTCAAAACTTTGTATCACACATACCACACTTATGGGATCTCAACCTGGCTCTGGCCTTCACTGTGATTTGGACTAATTGCTTAACCTGTCTGAAACTCATTTGCTCCACTTGGGATATTAATAGCTGCTGTTTTGACCTCTTCTGAGAATTTAGGATATTGCTTTATCAATCTTTCTCAATCTCTTGGATAGGGTCCCTCTTCAGAGCTCTTTTCTCCTAAAACTTTAGCAAAACTCGCATCTGGCTGTAATAAGAAAGATATCCTGCTCCAAGTCCTTCTCTACCATGAAGAGGAGGCGGATGGCAAGAAGAATGGATTTGGTGCTTGAGGAGGGGAAAGCTGACCACCAGCGAAGGAAGTAGGCAAGGTCTTTTAAAAGGTCAGACTCACCTCCATGAGGGAAAAATTGAGCATAGATCTGTTTGAATGTTTCTTCATTGACCACACCGCTAGGACATTCCTGTGTGATGGAGAGAGAGAGAGAGACAGAGAGAGAGAGAGAGAGAGAGAGAGAGAGAGAGAGAGTCAGTGGCGACATCTAAGGTCCTGCTTTAGCTGAAGTGGGCTGTGCCCATCCTCGGAGCCTAGGGTTCCTCATGATCCCTGGTGGGCAGGGACTGGGTAACAACCTGTGAATTTCCCATATCTCCAGGTGAATGGTAGGGAGGTGGCACCACCTTAGGATGGAAGCTGCTTTATGAAATAATGAGACATCATCAGAGAATGGGCACCATGAAGTGGAAAGAGTTTGGATTTTGAGATTAGAAAGACCTCGGTTTGGATTCTGGTTCCACCACTTCCAAGTGGTGTCACTTTGGGTAATTAATTCTCTGATCCTTAATATTCTTACCAGAAAATGGGGCTATGGTACCTTCCCTACAAGGCTATCATGAGGTTTAATATGTAGACTGATGTGGAAGTGAGCCCATGGTAGATGCCAATCAATACGAGTTTCCTCCCTTTTCTGAATGCTGGTCCCCCTTTAGCCCAGTGTCCATCCTGTTCCAACCCAGTGTCCAGGACCCTGTTCCAACCCAGTGGCCAGCTGATAACACTGTGTCTGCAACATGGCAAGAAAAGAAGCCCTTGTGGTAGGAAACCAGGCATAAGAAAAGTGCAATCAAGGATCTTGTGGAAGGGTAGAGGCATCCTTGTGCTTGTCAGATAACCACCAGGAGATGTCGGAATCCTTCTGAGGTCACATGGTCAGCACCTAGGAGAATATTGAGACTATAGGCAGTGTGTAGTTCATCAAATTCTGCCAATAGGGAGAAAGGGAGATGGTGAACACCTTCTTCCACCCTGCCCCACTTCAGGATTTGGAAATAAGATTGCCCTCTGAGAGTTAAATTTTTGAAAAATGAATACTTAGAATTGGATCTGAGAGCTTGAACATTGGCCTGAGAAGGCAGAAATATATTAACCTATCTGAAGAAACAATGGGCTAATTCCCTAACCTCTGATGACATCTTTTATTAAAACTGGGCTTCTCACATAGCTTGAAAATAGAGAAGGTTCTGGCAATCAGAACCAGATCTGGCTCTGCTGTCAGTTCTATTTCCCATGATACACTAATACATTAGCATTCAGCTCACATGCCGATTTCTATGAACGTGATTAGCATAAGTCAGAAGATCTAAGCCCATCATGTTCATTGCACCAATGAAATTGAGAGTATGAATGTGTTATGCTAAGGCTAGGGCCTGCGCCAGGGTGAATTCTCCAATGTTGTGCCACTCTGTGAAGTCTCTGGGTAGTTGCCCAGTTTACATATACTAAGATTGCCTCGTCCTTACCCAAGCCTTTCTTTCTAACCAGGTGATCTTGCTCTCCTGTCCCTTCTATAGAGCTGGCCTTCCTTGTACAACTGCATGTATGGAAGTTTCCTGATGAGACCCTTTGGCTTCTGGGGGAGTCTTTGGGTGGTGCAAACAGCACTCAGCTGGTAACTGAATGACTGGAGGTTCAAGTCCACCCAGAGGTGCCTCTGAAGAAAGGCCTAGTGATCTATTTCTGAAAAGCCAGCCACTGAAAACCCTGTGTAGCACAGTTCTTTTCTGACACACATGGGGCCACCATGAATAGGTGTTGATTCAATAGCCACACGTTTTTGACATTTAGGGAAACTTAGTCCCAAGGGGCAGATCCTGCCCAGGCCTTCTGAGGTCTCATGGGTCTTACATTTTTGAAGCCTCGATAAAGGACTTGTAGCTCCCTCTTGGTGAAGTTGGTCTGGGCCTCAAGCTGTTCCAGTCCCTCAGGCCGATGGCAAACCATGGTCATCTCCAACTCATCTTCAATCTTATCTGGAACCAGAGGAGATGGCATTGGAGCAGATGACCTCAGTGGTCACTCTTGTCAGACCACAAACTGAGGATGGTGTCATGACCTGCGACACAGGGCTGTGGGCTGAGGTGGCACTACAGATGACCTTCCTGCCCTGAGCCCAACTCCCTCCCAGTCACTTCTTCGCAAGAAACAGGTTTTTGGCATTTGGGGAACTTTAGCCCCAAGTGGGCTCACCACCACCCTACCCCATGACTCTCTGTATGTCAGGCATCACATAGGGAGGGAGGTACAGCGTTGGGGACAAGCTGGTTCCAAGTGGAGATGATGGAACAAGTCCTAAAAATAAATCCATATAAAAACCATTTCCTTTCCTTTCCAAATAACTTATTTGAATATTCAAATTGATGCTCATTGAACTTTCTGAATATTCTAAAGACACAGGTTAGTGTGTAGAATGATGAACACTCTCTAAACAGCAAAGGGAAACAAATATAGTAAAAAAACATAGAGTGAAAGAGTGAACTCTTACCATTTGGGCCAACTAGGGTAATACTAGCATGATTTAGTAAAAAGTTCAAATGATAGACTATTAATTATTAATTTGAAAAAATCTGAATATATTTTGTTGTGTGTTATTTTGTAGTTATCTACTAGAAATTCTTAAGTAATAGGGAAATGATATAAAAGGGAACACCCCCTTATGTAAAGGAAAGCTTCTAAACCAACTGAAGGGCTCTAAAGAGTTGGGAGCTCTGGTGGCACAGTGCCTAAGGCATTTGACTACTAACCAAAAGGCTGGTGGTTCAAACCCACCAGCCACTCCTCAGAAGGAAGGGTGGGCAAGCTACTTCTGTAGTGATACTGCCTCAGAAAAACCCAAGGAGGGATTATTCTGAGTTGGATCCGACTTGATGACAGAGAAAGAGTTGTCTTAAGTAGTAGTTTGAACTATTCCTCCCAAATGTACTGCAATGTCATATAATTTTGCACTAGTTAGATAGCAAATGTCAATCAGTGAAAGGGAGAAATCACAAAACCCAAGTAAGTGGAACTTTCCATGTTTCCCAGGCACAGAGGTATCTGTGGGTATTTTTCGCCAGGCTTTGCCAGAACGCTTTCTATAAATCTTCTCCAATCAATAATCAATTGCTATTTAACCTCCTCTGCTTGCTGTTGTCATGCAGACATGTCCTAATCCATGTATTGAAAAGGCCTGTCAACGTGGGCTGGCAAGGATAGTGAGGACATGGGCAGGCTGCTGGGAACCATACACACTGCATCTTTTCCCATGAGACAGACGTCTGAGAGCAGGGAAAGCAGGTTTGGTACATTGTGCATTTTCCCTCAGCAGTGCTTTATGGTTTCTTTGTGTCATATTTCCTCTGCTATGGTCACTTGTCCTTTGCATACTTTGATCCTAATACAAAAAGAATTCATCAAACTAAGTCTGTATTTTCTTTATATTCTAGAAGGTAATGGGCATTTAGGTAAGGATCCTTCAAGAGTGAGGCAGAATAACTTGGCAACAATTCCCCATTGTCATTTTTCTTATGTGCTGGGTAACCTTGTCCCAGTGGGTACAAGGCAAATGATTCAAGATAAACAAGATACTGTGTTTATACAACATAGCTGCAAGTGGACAATGTTCTCTATTTCTTACAGAGCCCTTAATTATTGTTATGTTTGTTGATAACAAGCAGCAATTATCTAAATTATCTTCTAAACTGCAGAGTTTCTATGCAAATTAACAGGTCTAGTTTCAAAAAAAAAAAAAAATCCACAAAAGTCTAATTCAGAAAGCTCACATACATTTTTAACTTGTTTAAAAATAGAAATCAGTTGTTGGTTTAAATCTTCTAGTATTAGATCTAACAGCACTCCCCTCCCCCCCGAAAAAAAGCACAATATTTAACAGTGTGAGAAGAGGCAATAATCATATATTAAAATATAACTGAGAAAGACATTATTTTATTTTTGAAGTTGTCCAATGTACTTTCCTAGGTCTTATCCAGAAGCTTAAAAGATTTTTTTGCAGCAAGATTTTCTTTCCATTAATTGTCCTGTGGTTGAATTCCTCGCAAGCTCCGGGAAATCTCTTTGCAGAGTTTTGAGAGAATCTTTTTGATTCAGAAACAACACTTACTTGCTATCATTGTTATTAAAAATGCACTAAGTAATTACTGAAAATATCAAATATTAAACCCACTTTGTTAAGATGGAACTGGACTTTATTAATAAATGATTTGTTTGCTGTCTGGGCATTGGGATCAATTTGCAGATCAAATAGATTCTATAATAGCTGAGCATTTGAGTATCGACTGCCAAGCTTTTGTTTTATTTCTCTCATCACTCTCTAATTGTCAGACTGTGGTAACATCAGTCACAGGAGGAAATTCACATCTTTGGAGCTCAAGATGCTGGGAAGTGGCCTCCACATGAGCGTTGGGGGCTCAAGCCAGTTCTCAAACCTTGCCTCCCCTCCCACCCCTGACTGTATTTCATATTAAGAGCTACAGTTTGTATCACAATCCAGTGTACATATACACATATTTAATAATTTATACGAAATATTTTGAAGCAAAATTTTCCTTTTATTCTTAGTTTGAAACTATTCCTTTTTATAGACAAAGAAGCTCTGGTGGTGGTGTGCTTAAAGCGTTAGGTTGTTAACCAAAAGGTTGGTGGTTTGAAAGCACCAGCTGCTCCACAGAAGAACGATGAGGCAGACTGCTTCTTTAAAGATTTATAGCCTTAGAAACCTTATGGGGCAGTTCTATTCTGTCGTATAAGGTCGTTATGAATTGGAATCCACTAGGTGGCAGTGGGTGGGTTTTATAAACATACTTTTTGTGACTCTCATGTGTCATGTGCTCTTTGAAACACTGATTTAAACTGTGGACAACTATAGTAATTTTATGGGGGGCAGGCCACATCCAGGCATTCCTTCCCCCGTCCTGCTCTCCCTTCCTCTTCCTTCGATGCCTCCTAGTTCTCGCCGTGGTAAATGTATTTTGAAGGAACTTCAGACAGGGCTACAGGAGTCTTTGCATCCTTTCTGTTATCCCCCAGGGGTTCCCTGGGTGCTGCTGAGGAGGTCACAGGAAAGGAAGGAGGGTGGCCCATGTCCCTGGTTGGAGGAGAAGGAACCAGAATCAACAAGTGGTGCTGCCAATTTCTTCTCAGGTTTATTAAGAGTTGCCAAGGCCAAATGTTGCTTGTTACTATTATTTTTGTTGTTAAAAATAGTGATGAGAATGATGAGCTAGTTACTAGGTCAGTTTGAATTTGGATGACAAAATGGACCTGGAGGTTTAATACTATGTGATAACTATATGAAGAGAATACATTAGACTGTCCTCTGTTTGTACTTTTAATCTGTGGAATGTTTTTATGCCTGTGTTTCCCCACAACCTTGTGTGGTGGGGAGTAGGGACCATTACCCGTCCCACTTGTTAGGAAGATGGGAGCCCTAACAGGTGAAGTGATTTTCTAACTACAAGTATCTCAGAAAGTCATGAAGTCTCTATCACTGGGGACAGTTAAGACAAGAAAGGATAATTAACCATAGAGGATGCTCTGTCGGAAATTCCCAAATTAATGGAAGATTGAAGCAGATAATTCAGTTTAAGTGGATCTTAATATTTTGAAGTCACAGGTTCTTCTGAGTAAGTGAGGAAAACTTTAGACCTTCTCAGAAAAACAAATGCACCTAATTATGATATTTTGCCTATACTTTCAGTGAATTCCTGTATATTTTAAACACATGGAGTCCATGTTAAGGCCTTCTGGCACAGGAGATCTCTTCCTAACTCTGTCCCTAACTGGCTTTGCCTGAATCCCCCTGGTCATACACCCAGTCAGTGACAAAGCTGGACCTAGAATCCAGTCAGGGTGGCTCCCTTTCATCAGATCTGGCTTTCATGGGTCCTGTAATGGGAGCTCTGGTAGCATAGTGGCTAAGGCACTTGACTGCTAACCAGAAGGCAGGCGGTTCAAACCCACCAGCCACTCCTCGGAAGGAAGGTTGGGCAATCCTACTTCCGTAGTGATACTGCCTCGGAAACCCAAGGAGGGGTCGCTATGAGTCGGGGCCGACTCGACGGCAAACAACAACAACAACAATGGCTTCTGCTTTTCTCAAGCACAAATTGTAAATTAGTTTGTGACCAGCCTTGCAGAAGTCCTGCCCCTAACAAACTCTGCATCTTAAACTATAAGAGATAGGAGAGCTCAAGGCTTTGGACTTCTCCCCAGTGATGATGTCTTTTCCATTAGATCCATCTCCTTTGATTGCTCCCTGACTGAAAATAGTTTTTTCCATCATGGGCTCTGTGGGTTGGGCTTTATACCCCACCCATCTAGTTTTGAGGTAACAAAATGACAGCCCTGGTCCTGAATATAGCCCAAAGATAGGTCTTGTTTGGCCTGTACAATGGGTTTTATTTGTTTATTTTGAATCAGTTGTTAATGTTTAAACATGAGAGATTTACATCAGAGTTTGGATTTCTGATTTCTCTGGGGCAATGGGATTATCTGGCAACACTGATCTCAAATTCTCACAAGGTAACCTTGTACTAGAGCTGAGCAGTGGCTGTTCTCTCTGGGCTGCCACAGTCTCTAACGTTTCCTGTCATTCACATTTGGCTCACTTAATTTATGCCGCCTGCCTGGCCCCACAGGCATTTGAGTATTTGGTCCCTGGTCTATGCCTATTTACCTTCCTACTCACCTCCCTTTCTCCTGCTTCACACTGGCCAATCTACCTGTCTACTTCTCACTTTCTTTCCCTATCTGTTTATTTAAATATATTCCGTTTTCTTTCACAAAGCACTTGAAACTCATTGTAGGAAATAAATACAAGAAAAAGAAAAAGAGATAATGAGAAAAACTACCTCAGAAACTATAAATTTTGTCAGGAAATCAAGACCGTGGGAAAGAAAGAGAACATTAAAATTCAAGTCACTTGTTCTAAAAAGTTGCTACACTTGAGCCACAAATTGATTTTGAGCATATATCTTATTGCTCTTCAGGGGAAAACATACCAGGTTCTTATGGGGAGCAAAGCTTTCCCTGTACCATCTTTAAAAGAACATTTTGAATTGTTTTTATATAGGTGGCATTTGTTAACAAGGGGCACAGAAAGGTAGTGAATGGGAAGACTAACTACTAAATGCACACTTAGTTAAGAGGCTCTTCCTTTGAAAGTAATGTGACCAAAGCAGTCAAGTTAGTTTAAACTTTTTTACCTCTCTGATACTGGTAATACCACCAGGCGATGTCTAGGAAAGAGTAAGAAAACATTTTACCAAATCTGTTCATCAAAAAAGCAAAACACACTTCTGTTTTCCATGGAGATGCAGCCCTAGGGTAGAGTCTGTCCAGGTCACTGTTCAGCTCGACATAGGTGAGGGGGCCTTTGCTCCTCTCGCTAGCAGAGCTGGGACTGACCTTCTCCTCATCCTCTTCCCGTGGCCAGAACAGGCAAGAGCAATGGGTGGCCTCACAAGGCCCTAGGCTCCCAGCAGCAGCTCACTGAGCATGCCTCAGCCATGCAGCCATGCAGCCAGAAGAGAGATGGGATGGGGCGTGGCAGAAAATGCACGATGTGGATGGGTCCTTGGAAATACCATATGCTTGATTTGAAGTGCAGCTTATAGGATATCCTCTGCCTGAGGAGACCCTATGATCCCTCTGCTACTTTGTGGTTTAAAGCTGAATATCTTCAAGGATGATTTATTTACTCACTCAACTAGGTATCAATTAAAGAATCTGCTATGCATATATTCCACCACTCATCTGTCAGTTTGTTGTACTGTGGTGGAAGCTTGTACATATAATGCTGGAAGCTATGCCACCAGTATTTCACCAGCAGGGTCACCCATGGTGGACAGGTTTCTGCAGAGATGCCAAACTAAATCAAACTAGGAAGAAAGGCATACTGATCCACTTCTGTGTATTAGCCAGAATATTGTCTGATACAGTGCTGGAAGATGAGACCCCCGTTTGAAAGGCACCAGAACACACAGTGGCTGCAACAATGGACTCACCAACAGTTGTGAATATGACACAGGGTAGGATAACATTTCATTCTGTTGTACATGGGTTGCCAGGAGTCAGAGCCAACTTGACAATACCTGAGAATAACAATAGCATGCACATATTGACGGATAAACAATTCTGTTCCCTGCTCATGTGGAGCTTACAATCTGTTGCTCTACAAGATCTACAGGTGTTTGCTTCTCTCTTCTTTCTTGAGCTTGGCAAATAACATGGATGCAGAAAAGGAAAAGGGATGTTGAACGTAATAATTAGCACATTAGGACATATGGGCAGAGTAGACACAGGCTAGATCCCCTGTTACACCCATTATAATACATTTGACAAATATCAGACCTAGAAATGGTGCCTTGGGGTAGGGCCCAGGCCCCAGAGAGCAGGAAATAGAAGCTCTATTTGCTTTTCTCCTTTTGGGCGTTTTCAAGGCAACTTACTATTCAGCTTGGTTTCCCTCTGTACACTATTATTGGAACCTCCTCCTGTCCTTATTGATTCCCTTGACCAAGAATGTGTAAGGCAGCTTAGAAAAAAAAAAAAAAAACTCACTACCATCAAGTTGGATTCAACTCATACTGACCCCTCCTTGGGTTTCTGAGGCGGTATCACTAAGGAGGTCTATTGTCCATTCTTCCTTCCAAGGAGTGGCTGGTGGGCTTGAACCACCAACTTTCTGGTTAGCAGTCAAATGCCTTAGGTACTATGCTACTAGAGCTCCTTAAGGAAGCTTAGCCACCATTTTATGTGTGTTTAAGTAACTCTCCCTTAATCCCAGAAAGGAAGGCTTTACTTTCCTGTTGCTTTTTAAAGTGGTGGTATAGATAGGTATCCATTGGTAAATATTTCTGCTTTTGTCTCCTGACCTGAATTCTATGGTAAGAACTTATTATACTCAGCAAACATGAGGGAAACCTCAATGAGCTGGACTAACACAATCACTACAACAATGGACGCCAACACACCAATGATCTTGAAGATGCCCTAAGACCAGGCAGCATTTCATTCTGTTATACACAAGGTCACCATACACTGGAACTAACCTGATAACAACTAACAATTGTAAAGATTTAGTTGCCCCATCGAACTCCCTGATGAGATAGTATTTTCATAGAGATATTTTAACAAATTTGAATCGACTGTCTCTGGCATGCCAGGGATGTGATGACAGATACTGGGATAGAGATTGAAAGACATACTCTCTGTTCACATGGGGTTCACAGATTAGTGGGGAAGTATGGACCAGTGGTTACAAACTCACATGCTTAAAGTCATTGGCAGTAATATAAATGTGTGCAGGCAATGGTGTGTTCAACTATACAGAGTGGTGGGGACTGGAACTGGAGAGCAAATACCCACGAAAGAGGAGCAGTTGCTACTTAGCAGGTGTTGTCAAGCAGGGATTTATACCCAGTGAGATCAGATCTTTTTATTTTTCTGGAGATGCCAGAATTAAAAAATTGTTACTATCCTGGTACTTATACTTAGCACTGGGTGGGTCAGCTGCAAAGGAACTCTTTCAAGTGCTGAGGAACAAGGATGTCTCCTTGAGGACTAAGGTGTGCCTGACACAAGCCATGATATTTCCAATCGCCTCCTATGCATGTGAGAACTGGACAATGAATAAGGAAGACCGAAGAAGAGTTGATGTTTTTGAGTTGTGGTGCTGGCGAGGAATGCTGAAGGTACCATGGACTGCTAAAAGAACTAACAGATCTGTCCTGGAGGAAGTGCAGCCGAGATGCTCCTTGGAAGCAAGGATGGCAGACTTCCTCTCACCTACTTTGGTCATGTTGTCAGAGGGGACCATTCCCTGGAGAAGGATGTCATGCTTGATAAGGTGGAGGGTCGACGAAGGAGGGGAAGGCCTTCAACGAGATGGGTTGACAATGGGCTCAAGTATAGCAAGGATCATTGAACTGGCACGGGATCGGATGGTGTTTCGTTCTGCTGTGCATGGGGTCTCTATGAGTCGGGAACAACTCAACAGCACCTAAGGACAACATACTTAGCATGAGCCAAGTATAGAGCATTTACAGTCTGGAACTGTGCATTGACAAATCACCCCAAAGCAGTGTGAACATGGCTAAGATACTGAGAGGAAGAAGCTCTTAATGAATGCTACCTGGATGTCATCCCCTCGAAGGGATGACAGGGAAACCTTCAAAGGGAAGTGATAATTTATTTGAGTCTTGAGGGAACAGGGACAAGGAAAGAATATTTGCAAAAGCACAGAAGCCCAAAGGACTGCATAAGGAGCTCTGCTTCCAGGAATAGCGACTCTCTTTAGCAGTGCTGATCCCCTACTGAGAAGTTAGAAAAGGAAGATAAAACAAATCACATCTGTCTGAAGTCGTAAGGGAGTGACCAAGGTAGCCAGCACCTGAGAAATCATAATCTCAGAGAGAAGATAAACTCACTAAGGTGAGTTTGATAGTCAGTGCTGCCTTTCCTCTCAAAGCATATGCTGACTCATATGTAGCATGGGTGGAGAGGTTGAGAAGCTGCCCAAAAAGGTTCTTCTGAGAGCTAAAAATGTCAGCAGAGCTTTGGTAATCTTATGGGGCCATGGTAGCATAGTGGCTAAAGCACTTGACTGCTAACCAGAAGGCTGGCGGTTCAAACCCACCAGCCACTCCTTGGAAGGAAGGTTGGGCAATTCTACTTCCGTAGTGATACTGCCTCGGAAACCCAAGGAGGGGTCACTATGAGTCGGGGCCGACTCGACGGCACATAACAACAACAACAACAATGGGGCCATGGAGAAAAAAGTTGAACGTCAGTTCTGCTAAAACATCCAGGACTTGAAGGGTCAAGATCCCCACAAAGAAAAGGAGGCACAGGGAAGGTAGCCTGATAGCACAAAATGCTTATGCCTCAAGGCATTTACTAATCCTCAAGTAACAAAAGGTCAAGAGAAACTAGGTAAATACCACTGCCAAAAGATCATAGAACTAAAATGGAGATTTTGGCAGGCCCACAGAGTTTAGAGGAGCTCTGGTGGTTTAATGCCTAAGGTACTTGACTGCTAACCAGAAGACTGGCGGTCCAAACCCACCAGCAACTCCTCGGAAGGAAGGTTGGGCAATCTACTTCCATAGGGATACTGCCTTGGAAACCCAAGGAGGGGTCACTATGAGTTGGATCCCACTCGACAGCAGTGCAGTTGCATTTTGTTTTGCATACAGAGTTGAGGAGATAACTGAAGAGTTCAGGGTCTGCCTAGCAGAAGAAATCCTATTAAATTCTACATGATTTCAATTTGACCTCTAAAACTATACTGTGAGACAAAGGGCAATTTAGAAATAGACTAGGCTATGCAAAGATTGAAATCCAGCCCTAAAACAGCTGAATCTTTGTTTGGACTAAGTTTATCTGCCCTGACTGTATTTAGCTTTCAGAAGGTGAAAACTGAACAAGATCACTTACAAATTTTTCATACTAATATCCACCATTCAATGAAAACTGTCCAGGTATATTAAGATACAGGACCAAGAGAAAAAATAGAACATAGTAACTATCTACAAAACTGAAAAACAAAACAAACTCACCGCTGTTGAGTTGGATCCGACTCGTAGCGACCCCTCCTTGGGTTTCTGATATTTAGATCACTCTTTCGAGGGGAAGTTTTCACAATGCAAAAGACTCTATTTGCTAGAAAGGTATGATAATTCTAAATTTGTGCACACTAATTAGTATATGGGAGCTCTGGTGGCGTAGTGCCTAAGGCATTCTTTGACTGCTAACCAGAAGGCTGACGGTTCAAACCCACCAGCCACTCCTGGGAAGGAAGATTGGGCAATCTACTTCTGTAATGATACCGCCTGGGAAACCCAAGGAGGGGTTGACTATGATTGGATCTGACTTGACGGCAGTGAGTTTTAATATGTAAATAGATATATAAAAAGCAAAGGCTGATAGAACCAAAGGAAAACACAGGCAAACTGCTGATCACAGTTGGAGATTTTAAAACACTTCTCTTAGTATAACTAATAAAATGAGCAGACAAAATCAATAAGGGTAAAGAAGATCTACACAATGCAATTAACAAATTTGGCCTCATTGACACATACAGACACTGTACCCAACAATCCTGAAGTCCATAGGTGGTGCAAACAGTTACCACACTTGACTACTAACTGAAAGGTTGGAGGTTCAAGTCTACACAGAGGCACCTTGGAAGAACAGCCTGGTAATCTAAATAGAGTTTGAAAGCTGTATGGAGCAC